TTCAGTCAGATAATTCATGCTTTCAGATCCACTAAAATGGCAGGTGACATTCAAATAAAGCAGATCTGTGATGTCTGAAGAAAAGGTGGACACTCATATCTGAAAATAAAAAATTACTTAAAAATTTATTAAAACTAAGTTCCATATAAAAACTTAAATTATAAAAAAAAAGAACAATTTAATTACTACAATATTACATTTATTTTTATACACAAAAAGAGAGAGAGAGAGAGATCAATGGGAATCAGGCACCCTTGTCCTAAATACCTAGAATGCATTGCGTTTGTTGCGACACATTCCCGTTCTCTATTTTGGATTGTGAAAGCAAAATTCTCCTACCAGAGTGATTATGTACTATAGTTGTGGCAGGTACTATTTGTCCAGTTAGTAAAAAAAACTTGTGTTGCATTTGGGATGACTTTGTCGTGATGCTTGAAATTGGGCTCGTGTAGCAAGCTCAAAACATCTGCATTTGCATAAAGTATGTTTCAGGCATAGTGAGAGGTATATTCTATAAAGATGACTTACCGAGCACAAAGTCACACCACCTTGCTCCCAGAACACCCCTGCAGCTTCTTGATTGTCTGAGCATTTTTGTTGAAGGAGAGGGATTTTTTAGTTTCCCTTTTTTTCTTCCTACTTTTCTCGGGCTTTTCGAGGACAAGGGTAGCTGTACTGGAGAGTTGTGTGTCCCTTTCACCGTAATATCCTCACTCTCCTCATGCTCTGAGACATCATAAAGCTTTACGGTGCAAACATTACATTCCTCTGTCGTAGACTTGGTGTTTGGAGAGTTGATCTTTTTCAGAAACACTCTGCACTCTTTTAGCGACTCTGGACTCCAAGCTTCGGAGCTGATTCTATTTTGCTTTGAAATGTTGGAAAGCCCAATCATTTTTGGAGGAGTTTTGACTAAAAGCTTTAATGCATTTTGAACTTTCATGACTGGTTTGGATGGCTTGTCTACCAACTTAGGCATTTCTTTCGGTAACTTTAGAGTCTTAGCACCTGAAGTCCTCATTTGGTCACAAACTTCATCTCGTAATGCTATCTTATGCCTGGTTTTAAATTTTTGTCTTGCTCTAATCAGAGCTTTTCGGTAGTCAACCCATATGCCTCTAGACATTGAAATATTCTGTTTAAATGATGATGATGTGTCAAAGAGCTTTCTCTTTGCTATTGGCCTTGCGGACTTGGACAACATTTCTTGTGCTTTTTTGTGCATTGATGGACTCTTTGGAACGATTTTAGCAAATTTTTTTACATGTTTCCTGAGTCGCTCTGCTTGTGGACTTGGGCAAGCATTAACTTTGCAATTGGGTCTGCTGAGGCTGTAATGAAAGACATCCTTGGGATTCCTTGCAATGGCCTTCTTTACAATTGCTAGGGACTGAGTTTCCGTGGACTGCATAAACCAAGAGCAGAGCTTCTCCATATTATAATTTTTCTCAAAAAGCATTTTAATGGCAGAAGTAGACTTCTTGGGAGCATCAAGAAGCTCCTTACAAGTTTTTGGTTTAAGATCCGGTTTGATCTCTCCTGACTGGTTTGCCTCAAGGACATCTGATACCCAAGTATTGGACATCAGCTTGATCCTCCTAGCTAACTCTTCATTCAAGGTCTCAGGTGATGCTGATGTGGGCCACCACCTGAAACCCTCATGTGGTGAGAAAATGGAGTTGACTGAAATAGCAGAAAAACGAACAATGTCTTGTACACTACTGACATTCTTGGTCTTAATGGAAAGTGCATTGTTTGGGGGTTCCTCTTTTATGTTCTTTACATGCTGGCTTGCCTCGCAGCTAGCCTTATTCAGCAGTAGTTTTCTCGACCTGCGAACCAATGCGCAGGATCTGGCAGTAGCAACAGAGTGAAGCAAATGAATCGAGGGTTTCCGTTCTCTAATAGAATGTCTCACCGGTATGAGCTGCCTTCTAGTATTCGGATTATATTCTTTCTGCGCATCCACTCTATCTTTGTTAATGTCAGTAGGAATGCAGATCGTCTTCTGCTCTTTGGAAGGTTGAAGTTCAAGAGTCCTTCTGAGCAGATGTGAATCTTTTGTGTCTCTTTTTAAATGTATCTTTCTTTGTCTTGGTGACCCTGATGTGACTGTGACAGAAATGCCAGAAATCTTTTGGACTTTTGGAGGTCGCCCTGGTTTCCTTGACAATATAATGTCGCTCTGTCGTTGACATTTGATGTTACTGCTAGAGTGGATACATTTCCTGTCCTCTATAGGCATAACAAGATGTAGATCTTTAAACTGATCTTTGGTTGTTTGATCATTAGTACTTGTTTTACTGTACATGCAACCATTGTATTCTTCATAAGCAGGTTGCTGTGTCAAGAAACTACCCAGATCTTCAGAAACTACTCTCCTCACTCTTCTTGATCTTCCATACAATATAGTGATTTTCAATTTTTTGTTATCATCCTCTTTAGAAGATATTTCATGTGTTCCCTGATTGACTGCATTTGAACTGGGTGTACTTGAACTTAAGTCTGTTGTTTTAGGTTTTGGAGGTCTCCCAATGGGACGTTTCACAGACTTCACAATTTGTGGTCCAATTTTTTTGGGACGCCCAGGCCGCCTTTTTATTGGAGTTGTTTGATGTATAAATGGTAGTGGTTCTTGGCTTTCACTTGAAAAACTGGACAATGGAGAACCAGCTGAAACCATATTTGGCGAAGTGCACTTGTTCTCAACATGCTCAACAGTTTTGCTTGGATTAGATTCAAAGACTGAATCCTGGTTATTGTCGTCTATGGCACTGCCTGCCCATGATGATTCCACACATGGATCAAACATCTCACAATGTGATTCTGAGCCAGAGGCAGCTGCTTTGAGTGTGTATTTTATTCCATCTTCACCTTTCACAGAGGAAACAAACATGAGCTTTATTGGACTGTCATATTTCAGTCTAGACGGGCTTGCTTCAGCCTGTGATGTGCTCTCAGTGGTAGTAAAGTTAGATATAGTAGGACTGTGTGGTTCAGTGTTCAGACTGTTGGCTCTGCTACATTTAGATCTCTTTGATGGCAAGGTAGAATTTTGGAATGATTTCCTTTTTCTCTCCTTATGAGGACTTCTTTCATTATTCTTGCACTCACTAAGGGGCTCTTTTTTTGATAAATTGTCATGTTTCGGTAAACTATTGTTCTGTGGTACTCCACAGTCTTCTTGTTCATGCTCCATCTTGCCACATTTATCACTAGGCAAGAAAATTTCTTCTGTGGATCCTAGCGCTGTTAAGGTGCCATCTCTAGAGGAATGCTTTGTGAATATACTTTCTGAAAAACAGGCTGCAAAATACATCTTTCGTGGCTCAGTAACATAAGAAGAGAAACGCTGAGGTGGAACAATATTTCTTCTGGTTCTTTCAACTTGAACAGCCAGACATTTTTCTTTATGGATTTTTGCCTTCATCTTCTGGTCACTATCTGTGTTTTGTGGCTGTGCTCTTTCATTAGGAGGCAGTTGTTCTTTAACAACATGCTGGATGTGAGTTTCTTGGTTATATTCTTTTTTTTCTTTTTCTGCATGTGTGGTCATATGTCCAGTGTTCAAGTTATCATTTACAGGTTCTGTGTACACTGTCCTGTTCAACTTTCTGCACTGAGGTTGTTCAGTAAGCGAGTATGTTAGCTCCAAAGGTTTAACCCTTTTTGTGCCTCTATTCCAATCCAATCTTGTATTTCTCTTGGAAAATGCCGGACTAAGTCTAGCCAGGTCTCTTTTGATTTGTAAGCTCTGTCTTCGTGATGATGGAAGGTCAGATGATTTGCTCATGGCAACTAAAGTTTCAAATCTCTTACGGGAACGTGTTTGAGGTGATCGCTGTTCTGTGGCTACATGCTGTTGTAAAAGATCATTAAGGTTATAATCTTTATCACTACTGTTATGCAACACAGTTGTTATAATCTCGGTCAAATGTGTGTCGTCTCTTATCCTGGAGATTTGACTGGCATGCGCAGGAATGTTTTGTTCCTTCTCAGAGGGTTGGATACTCTTGAGCTGTTCAGTGACTCTGTCCATAAGATCTCCTATAAAAGATCCACATTGGTGGTCATCTTTCTCTGCTTGTGTTTGCAATGTTACAACCTTTTCACAACATCCATCAGAAGATCCCACATGAAGAGGAGTGCTGGAGCATAAAGTTGTTTCTTTATTCTCGCTTCTGTGAGGTAGGAGAGAGGGAGGTGCTATGTTCGGGGCCTTGAATTCCTGAATGGGAAAGATACTGGGCTTGACTGCTATTTTATAATCCAGGTCAACAGGTTTTGGCGAGAGTGGTGGTGGAGAGGGGCTACGGCTTCCTTTATGTCTGTTCTGAGAGTTACTATCACCTGGAGGAATGATTAGAGAACCCCTTGCATGAGAAATGTAGGTATGATCACTATTGTGTTGATGCTGGCATGAGAGTTGTTTTGAACTAGTACAACAATCACTGAGGTTACAACAGATGGCTTGACCAACACATGCAATTGCTGTATTTTGGCAGGAATGGCCATGAACATTCCTCAGAGAGACACATGGAGGAGAAAATGCACATGTTGGATGCTCACAAGCTGTTCTGCAACAAATGCCAGCAGTTACTGAGCAGTCACTTAATGCAAGTGTCGGGGCTTCATTAAGCAGTTTTTTATGAAGATGGCAACAAAGGGATCCAGCCTGTTTTCCATGAGCATCCCTTAGAGATAATGAGATGTTGTAATCTTCCTGCACATCCTTTAAAATATGAGTGAGTAGTAATCTATGACGGGAACAAAGTGAAGACAGGACCTTCTCCAACACAGTGATTTTCCCAACCTCAGGAACTATAGAACCATCTTCAGTCTCCAGACTGGACTTGTCTTCCACACTTGATCCTAAGGAACTACATAAATAAACTGGGTTAAGTCATTACATAAACAATCAGCTCTTCAAAATTGAGCTGAGCTACCACCTCACCATTTCTCCCTAAATGTAAGCAAAAAAACAAAATACAACAACTCCATACATGGAACTATTTTTTATTGGTAACTTGAAGGCAAAGGATGGCGATTGTAGTAACGCTTACACTCAGGAAAACTAAAGGTACAGAATTATTATTTTAATCAAACCTGAATAATTTTGTTTCCTGATTAATCAACATGTCTTGACAAAAACCAATCACAAATATTTCCAGGCAATATGCTGACTTAAAATTAAAAGAAATTCCCAAAGTCTCCCAAGTTCCATATTTTTAAATACCACATAGCTAAAAACACACTGGATTAATATGCCTTCAGTATTCCATCTTATTACAATTAATTTAATTCTTTCTTTTAACATTACCCTATTCCTTAAATGTAAAAAATAAAAAAAAGACCACACCAAATATAAATATTTCAGACACAAATAAATGTTTGAAAAAAGGGACTGATTAGCTTTCTTTAGTTGTTTTCTTGCATTTTAAGTTGATTAAAAAGTCATAAAGAATAACATATTAACTTGCCTGGGGTAAATTAATTACATGTGAAGGAACATTACAAGACAAGGAACTCACTTATGCATGCAAGTGCAGTAAAGCATTTCACATATCAATGTGCAAGAGCAACAAAGTGCTTAAACACAAAACCAACACAACATTTAAACTTCATTTTCTGATTACATTAAAGAAATAACAGAAATACAACTACATTACAGAACAAGGGAATAGTACATAAAAAATAAATCAACCTTAGTGCAACGAATATATGCATAAATAACTGATTGCAAAATGATTCATATCCTGCATCCGTCATGACAATGAAATTATACATACTTAGAAAGGCCTAAACTGGTGATATTTATCCATCTTAATGATCCATATATAAATCAAGCCAAACTGTAAAATGTTATGTTTTTCTTGTGAACCAGACCAGCCCTGAACACATGCTGGTCTCAAAATATGAAAGAAAACATGTTTGCTTTGAATCAACCATATTTGGCTCTCTAACTAAATTCTAAGGGCCTTATTTTGATATAAAAAAGTTCAAATCATGCTATTTGTATTTATAAGACTGCTATTAACCTGAGAATACTATGTTTTTACATGTAAAAAGTTTTTTGGACTGAAATTACATAGGACACTAATATTATGATGCTAGAAGAGCATTGAAATAAAAGCGAATAACATTCTCCAAAGTGAGCCTATGAGTATCCCATGTAATATAAGTACAAGAGTGCAGCACTGACCATGTATATGATTTAAAAAGAAATGTGCATGGTATTAATGCTTACATGACCACCGTTTAAATTAAAAGTGAAACTGTGCCTGTGACAGCTATCCCCGAGATAAAAACTGAAAAAAAGAGAAGTTGCATTGGAAATCAAATTAAAATTATACAGATTTTATACAAGATCCACACAAGTAGTACATAAATACCTGATTTTTTTTCTTCCAGAAGATTTCATTTGTAAAATTGCTACTGGCCTGCAGAACGACTGAGCAGTAGCTATAAGAGCAGGCACTGTGTTGTTAATTTTAAGAGCTATAAGCAACATTCAGGGTGATTTGATAAATGCTTCTAAGCAGTTAAATTTAGGAATAAATAAGTAAATCTGTTTGTTTTAGTGTGGAGAGAAATTTCACCTTTGAGAAACAACAAGAGGTAAGCCATTAAAGAACATTCACAACACAAATCAACATTAAAATTGCATATGGAAATGTTTACGTTTCCAAAGCTGTAAATCACAAAATTCACATATTGCTTCAGCTACACTTTGCAAAGCATTACAATTATACTTGTGAATGAGATAACAGAACTATTCTAAAGAGAGATGTCAGTCAAGGAAGAAAATGGCTATATCCTTCATCACCTGTATCACAAATATATGTGCATATTTTGTAAAGTGCAACTGAATCTTGCAAGCTTCTAAACTGAGAAATAGAAACGGGTACATGCTATAAAGGACAGTTGAATTACAAGTGTCATAAAATAAAACAGGTCATTAAAAGCTATAGTAATTAGTATTCATTGACAAAAGAACAACAACAACAACAACAACAACAAAGCAAGAGCAGCAAAACCACAGAAACCTAAACAAAACGAAGCAGTTCAGAGCAGCACTTGAATCAGGCTTAATATCTGCCCCATGATAAGTGCATCATGGAATATGGACAAGAAACATTCTGATCCAAATCAGCTGCACCCTACTCTGAACTGCTTTGCTCATGGAGTGTGTCAATGGAGTGGCAAAATGACCCTCAACTGTTCAGTTACAGTGGAAAGATAATGCAAGGATGTCTTTAGTGTGAGGAACAACAAAACTGTACACAGTAGTTCTAAATCAGCAAAAAAAATATGGAGATTTTTCAGTAGTTCAGATAATATTAACAATAATACAAAATAAATATTAATATAGTACTGAGTGTAAAACAAACATTTACTGAGACTGCTGTCGAGCATTTCCCCTGTGCATTATTACGACATGCATTACACTGCATTTCCAAGTTAGCCCATATGATCTGTTGAGATTAGCAGAGCTAAAATTTAAAAGGGGCCAGACAAAAACAAAACAGTGTGTACAGAATTAGGCATATATGAACAAAAATAAATTAAAAATTCCCAATCGGTGAAAATGTGGCAAGTATCATCCACAAAAAGCCTGAGCTGGTCCAAGCTTTCACTCCAAGGATCTGGCAACAGTCCTGATTTCATTAATACTTTATGAAACTGATATTATTAACCTTGTTATACAACAACAACAAAAATAGTCATAAGCATTAATAGTCCTTAAAAACATATTTACAGTGTTGTTCCTTTGCTGGAGTGGAAACTTGTACCTATATCTACTCGCTGCATAAAGGATGAGCATTTCCCACTGGGGATTTAAACTAATTACAGTCATGCTGTCACCAGGTCGCCACACAGACACCATAAAATACTGTAGCTAGACTTGAAATGAAATGATCAGTCACTACACAGACTAATCACTGTGAAAGCTGCATACAACAATCATTAAGCTGAGTTTAGCTTATGTATGAACAAAACCTGAATATTTCTTAGTTTTAAACTGTAATTAACTTAAAAATCAACAGTGCTTCACAATATTTTAAATATATATATTCATATAGATATCCACAGTGAATAACCCCTGAATAGATTTTTAAAGGCATGTTTTGTGACTTGAAAAAAGGTACCATTTAATCTGTGGTTGAGGATTCAAGTGTATCTTTCAAGTCTAAATGAGGTCCTGACTGCAAGTTAGAAAAAAAAAAAAAGAGATAACTTCTGTTGGCTGTAGTATAGGCGATGTTTTCGTTAAAACCATCTCTAGAAAATAGCTGAAGTTTTGGTTTGAGTTAAGACTGTTTGTAGGCAGTAGATGAGGCATTGGTTGTTGTCCCTGACTTTCCGGAGCCTGAAGCTGCAGCTTCAGAAAGGCGGAGCTTCTTTTTTGGTGGGGTCTTGAGCATGCCGGTTCGCTCTTTGACCTTGTACTCAAGGGTGCTGTGTGGAACCCCATAGACGCCCTGAGCTTTCGACACACTCATCTTTCCACCAATCACCATGGCTATTGCCTCTTCTAGGATATCATGGTCATATTGGCGATAGCGCCCCCTCTTTTTCCTTGGCTGCTTGTCTCGACGATCATCATCTCCACAGTCAACCAGACTTCCGGTCACGCTCCCGCCAACACTCCCATTTTTTATGTTCAGACACAGTGGAGGCAAATCACCCTGCAGCAGACGTGACTCAAGGCCTGAGTGGCTTTCAACCAAGCCCTGTTTAGGGAGAATAGTCTTCAACTTGTGGAAAGCAGTGGGGCCTTCAGAGGCTTTGTTGGTCTGGTACACAGCATCCACTAGGCCAACTAGATCCAGCTGGGCTTTGGGTTGAGCACTGAAGCGTACCTGAGGGATTCGAATGTGTGCAACCGGCCCTGAAGCAGGACTGTGAGGAGATGTGGCTGGCTCTGCAGTGACAAGTGACCCGTCGCTCTGTTCCCGTAGCTGTGAGACCATCCTCTGCAAGGTTAAGTGGTGAAGGTATGACGAGGCAGTCACGGCTGCCGGGAACTTCAGCTCTGTGTGCTCTGGTGATGTAAATTTTAATTTTCTTACTTCAGATTGCTCAGACTGCGAGCGAGCCCATGCTGCTACCTTCTGTAGGACAAGTCGTGTGTCACTGGTGGGCCACACTGCCTCTGTGCTCCTGCCGTTCTCACGTGGTTCTCCTGCCCTCCTCTCTGGTAATAAGGCCTCTGTCTGAAGCTGTAAGGTTTTCTGAGGTATCCCGTAAAGTATGGCTGCTTTGTTTATGTCCAGTGATCCAGACCGAATATCTTTCAAGGCTTTCGAGAGTAAGCCCTCTGCAAACTCAGAGCTGCGATCCAAATAGTCCTCACTGATTGGTCTCCTAAGGGGAGGTGGGTGGGAGGATGAGAAACGAACGGGTGAGTGGACCAATGACAGGACGCCCTCAGGGTCCACTCCTTTACTGCCTTGTCTTTTGGTAACATCACTCGCTTCTCAATTGTCTGCATAACACAAAGCCTTTGAGTTGTTTGGGGGTAAACAGTGATTGTTTTTGGCCTTAGGTTGCAAACGATACTTCTTGGAAGGACAGTCTCTTGTCAATTGTGTGAAGAAAGACAAGCATCTATGGGAGTACTTCCAGTATCTTTGCAATGCAGATGCATTTTGTAAAACTCATGTATTTATGTCTCATGAAAATAATACTGCATAAATCAATTAATAGATAAATAAACAAATGAATAAATAACGGTAGCACAAAGGAACAAGTAAAGCCCCTGACTGCTGGCAAATGTGACGTTACCTTCCAACAAGTTAGAAAAGAGTCAACCCTTTGGCAGTGCAACAAAACAACCACTAATTCAAGTTTGAGGAGTACATTTTGTTCACACAACATCATCAGATAATCAAATAACATAGAACTGAAACGAAGACAAAATTATTACATTTTACTGATTCAAAAAAGAGAGAAAAGAAATCACCAGTTAAAACACACGGAACTAACCTCTCCTTTGGTTTTATGACTAAATACAAACCAAAAACACTCAATTTAATAAACATGACAGATGAGGCAGAAGTACTTACCCTGAACTTATCTGTAGTGTCGTTTCATTCTCAGAAGGTGTGTTTTTCTTAGAGAGGTCAAGTACTCCATCAACTGTATAAAAAAAAAAAAAAAAAAAACAATATCAAGTTTAAATTAATGCTTATATATTATAACAACTAATGGAGTGTACATTATGTTTATTCAGAGTTGGCTGACTTTCAGAGTTAGATATAATAAATCAAAATGTAACATTTGTTTCTCTGAAAACTACAACAAAAAATAATTTCTAGACATTTTTCTTGGAACGCAAAACTACCCATTATGCTTTGCGTGTATGCGCAAGGAGAGTGCGAAGAACTTCCGGTCGGTAGCTGATGCGTGTAAACAGTCACATTTGGACAGCTTTGAAACGATAGTTTTAATCTATTTTACTTGCTTTTATCCTCTTTGAACAAATACTGTTGTCCATCAGGACCATCTCCTGGACTGATCATTTAAAGAAATGCGATCTAATAGGATGGAAAACAGCTGCTGTGAGGCATTTTCCCCTCGTTGTCAGACGGCATCTTCTGCAGTTTAAATGAAGCCTTGTCATCGCTAAAGTCAACATTTTCTCTTTATTTCAAATATATAACCAGCCCAAACAAATGTAATTCACCAAAATGTTTGACACACACACGTAGCCTGTACTGTGCCACTGACACACTGATTTAATAACTGTGACAAAGTGAAAATATAGGCTAGTGTCATTTCGAAATGACAGAAAAACACAAACCGTGGTAAAAACAACACACAAAATAAAACACAAACGGCTCGCGATTAGAATGAACAGTAAATCAGCCAGCAGAGTATAAATAACAGACTTTTATTGGTCATTTTTGTAAATTGCACGACTTTCATACCTGTTAATTTTCATGCCAGTACTCTGGTTAGCTCTCTCTCTCTATCTGTGGTGTGTGTGTGTGTGTGTGTGTGTGTGTGTGTTAGCCGCTGAGCTAACAGCTGACAGGCCGGGAACCCACACACACACTATTTCTGACGGCAGACACGTGACCTAGGAGAAACGTTTTTCTCGTATTTCTGATGCGCTTGAACCACGTGACAGATTATAACGGCTTTAACAGACACATTTCTAAGTTTTGTGTCACAAAAACACTCTGTTATCCATTAAAAACGTAATTGAAACCCATTTTCAGACCGCAAATTACCAGTTGTACACGCTGTAAACTGAAGTTTTTAGCATTCTACCGGAAGACGCTGGTCGCTATGGTGCCCTCCATGCAGCAGACATGAAAAATGTCTATACAGAGCTACAAACTAATGAATCTTTTTCCACAATGTAGTGTGCCGATATTCTAAAATAATCTGGTTTCCTCTAAAGTAATGGTGATTTGTTGTGGTGCATACCTTGAAGGGCTGGAGAAGCTCTGCTGACAGTGAGGTCCAGAGGCCCATCAGGATCTGGTTGGCTAAGGAGACGTTCAGAATTGTCACTCAGGCCATTCAGGTCTCCATGAGTCTGACTTTTACATGCATACTCTAAGGCAAATCGCCGAATCATTCTGCGCATCAACTCCTGTGCAACCAGTGGTATACTTGAATCGCAGCTCTGAGGAAATTCTGAAAAATGAAACACCACAGAATCAGTTTAAGTTTTCATCCTGTGTACTTAGAGTAAAAATTCATAATTCATGGCTTTAACGTGAGTTTTAACAGATTTTCTGGATTTAGAGCTGATAAACATAATTACTTGCTATCAAACACAAGATTATGTACACATTTCTATACAATGTTTTATAAATATAACAAAATATGATTTAACAAAACCATTTTGCTCAAAATCAACCTTTAGAATGCATGTAAATGGGATTATATAGCTAACTGTATTGTTAGGTCTTATAAAATCAGTAGTCTGACATCCAGGAGTTCTTTAGTCCTCCAGTTGTGTTCACTTAACTCGAGTCCCAATATCTATGTAGAACAATCTTTCATGTGTACAAAAAGGTAATGGGCAGCATGATCATGCAAGTTGTACAACTGACCACATGAATTTATTCATGTAACTCTTTGACTACATTTTACATTAAAGATGAACAGGCTGCAATGTGAAGTTAGCATTGTTAAAAGTTGTATGTGCATGTTTACAAATTTTAAATAATGGTTCAGTTTCAAATCTGGATTATTTCAGATAATCTCAACTGTCAGGAGGGCAGTGGTACACTGGTCAACTTGCAAAGATCAAGTTACACAGATTAACAGTTCACTGCAGGAACAGCAATGTCAGCTAACAAAGTAAACGGTGTAATTTCACTACCCAAATCTAAACATTACTTGCAACTTGACAGTTAAATAATTTCACTACATTAGAATTGTTCTGTAAAGCAGTGGCTCACAGTCACAATGTCCAGTACTGCACATTTTCTATGTCTCCTTTGCCTGAGGTCCCGTCCACACGAACATGGGTATTTTCAAACCTGCAGCTTTTTATACACCGTTTTTAAGTGCAGTATTGGGTCACTAAAACCAAAACTTTGAAAACTTTTATCAGGATGAAGATAGTTAAAGGGTCACAAAACCCTAAAACACATTTTTTTAAATGATAACAGTCATCTATATGTGCCATACTGCTTAAAAAACACAATTAGTACACAGTTCACTAACAAGTGGAATTTGGTTGTTTTGGCATTGTTTAGAGGAAATTTGTTTATCCACTTTAAAAACAAATTTTAAATCAACATTATGATGATGAGGCCATTGTGTAAATTCCAGCATGGTGATTGGTCGGCAGCACCGGGAAGTGCATAGTGACCTTATTGAGTTTTTAGCATGTCTGTGCATTAATTCACCAGAAAGAGTTGGTTTGAACCAATTAGTGCACTCTTTCGTGAATAAGATGCAATTTCATTATTCACCTTTAAGTTGTGTTGCCAACTGCATTTAAACCCGATGGAAAATTTGTTTACAGATCCGTCATGCTACATTTTAAGCAGGCCTGGATTGGCTAATCGGGAGGACCGGGAGAATTCCCGGTGGGTCGGTCCGTTTTTTGGCCACGAGGGCCGGTGTCCCTAGCTCCAGAATCTGTTGCTCTCAGCAGTCACACTTTTTTTAATTAATTTATTTATTGACTTGACCACAGCCTTTTTATTCATTATTTTACTGCAGCTCTACACTTTTTATATATTTTCTCGCCGCTCAGTGAGCAAGATGCAGCCTGCAGGTTAATGATGATATAACTTAGATGTAATGAATGGCTTTATGTAATGAATAGGTGTTGTGGTTCAGTGGATAGCACGTAAGTTTATGACGCCGCAGACCCGGGTTCGATTCTCGTCTGAGTAATGTTTTTTTTAATTATATATACATATAATACTGTTTATATATACATATAATACTGTTAAGGTTGTTGAACATTTGAAGTTCTAAAGCAGCTGTTTTCTCAAAAAAAGACGTGATTTAGAGTGTCATTAGAAACTGATTTGGAAATGACCTTATTTTAAGATAGTCAGTCGTGAACTGAGGTGGGCCGGTCTGAGGCTTGAAACTCCAGGGCTGAAATGGAGTCCCACTCCGGCCCTGATTTTAAGTGTGCCAAAACAAAAGTGTTGTTTCTATTTCCCCACGATGGGAGCACCCCATGGGTAGGTGCAAGCAGTTGTCTTACTGATAACACACTCGGAAACTTTGTTCTTTAGAAACATTTTTTACCAGAGATTTCTGTCTCTGCAAATGTGGTGTGTGATTAATATTTTTGTTTATGTATATTCAAATGAAAAGTTAGTTAGTATCGTCAACAGTCCTCTTTCAGTTTTTGAAGACATACCTCGGCTCTTTCATGCATTACCTCTAAATACTCCAGCTGACTGACTGTGTAAGTTTTTTTTTTTTTTTTTTTTATAGTAACCATTATTTATAACACTTCTCTTACATTTCCTATACAATTCATTTAAGATTGTTAGGCAACACAGCCCCAGTGACCCTCGCTTATATTGTTTTTTGTTTCTTTTTTACCCTGTTCTGCAAATATTGACAAATGTCAGAATTAGATTGTGAAATATTTAATATTACGATTTCCAAAAATGTGTAAGAACACGTATTTGGTCTTAAAAACATTTTTAAAAAGATCATATTTTTTGATACATGATGACTGATGGAACATGTTTAGCCTACACTGAATAGAAGATCAGACAGAGCTGCTGGATTTACATGTGTATTCATCATTTTCTTCCAAACGACATGAAAGTGACTACTTAAGCGGGAGAGTAGCGTACATGTTACAGTAAAATATACTAGAAGTAATAGTTCTAGCAAAAATATACTATATACTATACTATATACTAAGAGTCATAGTGTGTAGCAAACTGTCCAGTTATATTTAAAAATAAATAATAATGCCATCTCTGACATCTGTGTATTTTACAAACCTTTAATGTTATATTTTGATAGTAGTTATGTCTTTGAATTATTGAAAACATTGATTAATTGTGATTTATGATAAGCAGCATAATCCTCTTTCTGTGCCTCAGCACGTGCCATCAGATTTGAATATGAGCAGTTAATGACGTGCTCTCTAATATTTTAATAACACTGGTGTGATCGAGTGAAAAGGTTAGTCAAAATTGATGAAGTTACAAAGTTTACAGTAGTATAACTACAATATTCAAATAGCAACATTATATAGTATCGTCAACAGTCACTTCCACACAGCCCTCAGATTCACTGTAAATGCTGCTCTACTGTACAACTCCCCAGCGCCTGTGTTGACAGTGTACAAATTATTATTATTTTTTTATGCACATAATGAAAGTCTTTTTATGCAAACCCTTCCCTCTTTACCCACTCCACATTCCCACCTAAACAAAGGTGCATTCCCACCTAAACAAAAAACAGATTTCTATCTTTTCTGTTGGAGATACTGTTGCCCTAAAAAACAAACTAAAAAAATACAAATAAAAAAAAATAAAATTTTACATATGCCTTAGGAACGGTATCACAGAAAATTTTGGCAGTTTTAAAACCTTGACTTTTCCAAACCGTGGTATACTTTGAACACTGTTATCCTGTCATGCCTAGTCCACACTAGCGTTTCACCCAGTATTTCTGAACAACTCTCCGTCTACTTTACACCTCTTATGGCCCATTTCCACTGAGTGGTACGGTAGAGTATGGTTCGGTTTGGTACGGTTTTATAGCCATTTCCACTGTCAAAAGGCGTACCGAACCAAACCGTACCGTACCGTACCACTTTTTCGGCACCCTTTCGAAAGGGTTCCAAACACAAGAAAACGTACCAAAAGGCGGAGCTAGATGCGCAGCTGAATGCTATTGGTTTACAGAGATACGTCATTCGCTTACGCAACAAGCCAGAATGTAAACAAAGGACCTGCCATGTTTGAAATACACAGCGAGAGATTACTTGCGCTCGCCGCGCGTCTATATTTGAAATAACTAACTTTTTGAGCTGATGATAATAACGTGCACATGATTATTGACAAGCTTTGGAAACCGAATCCTGTGAGAAGCTGACAAACATGAGTGGTCACATGATGTGCGTTTTCAGCAGTATAGTGTAAATGGAGATCTTTTCTGAAACGCTAGGTGAAACACCAGTGTGGACATGGATCATTTTCATTCTAAAACGCAATTTTATGAATAAAATGTATTAGTGTAAACGGGGCCTAAAAGTGCTGGGGGTCTGTGTAGTTGGCAAAACCAGAGCGTTTGTTCCTGCCATAATTTGCTTTGTGTGATGACAGATTTTGTGCCACAATCTCAATTGTTTTCAAGATGCGCATCTGTGCAATGGCTTGGTGAAAATTTGAGAGGAAGAAAAATCATATTCTTTCAGGACCATGAGTCTCTGTTGATGGGCTGAATTATGTGTGTAAAATTAAACTGTGCAGTATAAAGGAGCTGCAGAAAAGTGGCTGTGAGTCACTGCTTTACAGAACAACTTTACTACATCCTTTTGAATACCAATAAAGAAATTGTTTTGCAGCCCATTGCATGACCTTCCAGCTGAGAGTAAATGACTGATGTAGATCAGTAGAACTATAAGCAATAGCTGTCACAATGAACTCACTTCCTATGAACACAGAAAAAAACATGTCTCACCCTTTTTGCGAAATATAGCATAGAGGAATCGGTCTGCTTGGCACTGGACTTTATCAGAGGTGGACAGGCCCTGAGGTGGGGGGGTTTCAGCAGGGGGTGGCGACCCGGGCACAGCAGGATGCTCCTATGTGACAACAAGTGTGACAAACTGTTAAAACTAGGGGTTACTCAAGTTGTGATCTATTAAAATCATTTAAAAATTATTTGCTTTCAATTTGTTTACCCATATATTACAAATAAAAAGACATTCACAAAAATTGTAAAGAGTTCTATTCTAATGTCAATGCAAGCCTTTTCAAGGAACAGTCCAGTATTTGCACATTTTCTTTGATGTTAAACTGTGCATTACGTGTTAAACCAAGTATTCACACTAAAGGCGGCAAGAGCGTTAACTGGGAGCCAGCGGTGATAAGCTGCGCAGCTATATATTATATATATATATATATATATATATTTTTTTTTTAAAGCTGAACTATAATGACAGTACAGAACAGTATTGCTGCTTCAGAATATTTCAGACATATGGACATTGAATTAGTAAAGCAAAGCCTCACCACACACAATAACCTAAACTTCCATTGTAAAATGAATTTGCTAAAAGGTGCACAACATTTTCACACTAGAAAGCACATTTTGTTAGGCTTCATTTAAGTGATTGGCTGATATGTTGCAACGGCCCCTTTAAATACGAGATCAATATAGCTGTGAGGACAGACAGCGTTCTCTGAGGTGGCTAGAGAAAACTTTGCGCTTTTGATGGTGGCAGTGTGAACGCACAGTAAAATTACTTACATTCAGTTTCTCTAACTGCAGATTGCAAAAGGAGCAGTTTGCATCAATGGACCAATCATCCAAATCCTCTGGTTCACACTCTGAGGGAGAAGCAGTGTCAATCAGCTATAATTCTCAACTATGCTATGAGAAACAAAAGGGGTACAAAAGAATAGATCCAACACATACAAGCACAACTCACCATCAAATATATTGAGGTCTTGCAGCAGTCTTGGTCCATATATTCCCTCCAGTATACTTTCAAATCCTGCAAACAAGCAATTATCATTTCATCTGTAACAAATCTCAAAAAGAAAACAATGTCATAGAAATGATACATAATGGTAAAAACATTCACATTTTAGGCCTACCCATATATTACGTATAAAAGGCCTTTTCTTTCAACCTACAAAGACAAATTACAATATACTAAACTGACATTCTAACCATAAACATAATATTACTCTAGCAAACTGCTTCAATTTTATTTAACAGCTTGCTTTGAACCCTGTTACTGTATGATCAGACCATACAGACTAGTGTTTAATATTATGTTCCTAAAGGCCTGCACACAAGTAATTGCCATGTAGAATGTACTTTTTACTGAAATGTTTCAAGTGTATGGTGACAGTTTTACATAAACCCGAGTTATTTAATGTTCAGTTTATGCTATAAACACAAGTAGATTTATGCTGACCACTGTATATTCGACCAAACCACTGTTAACACCACTGTTTAACCGCATTCTCAAAGAGTAACAACTACCCGCTTTAAAACCACACGAAGAACGTCCATTATTTCAGTAAACAAGCATTCTCCAAAAACTGCCGTACTTTTACTTTTGATGCTCTCATCAAGAACCAGTGGGTAATATGGAAATCTACTGTATAATTCACACAACAGATTCAAAGCCGATGTTCTATTATTACAAAACAATCACACGGTCATCTGTACATCGGCATTCAACGCAGAAAGGGTCAGTGAGTGCAAAGCTAACCCGGTTATCGAGGAATCAAGAAGTAACTAGGGACAAAGAAAATGGAGCCGTCAGAGCCCGCTTGGTCTTTGGCCGTTTTTTATTAGCAACAAAAGCTAGACAGGACTCCCGCGGACGACGGCTTCACGCTTATGTTATTTTTGAACTTGACAGAAGCTCGCTTAGCCACTCCGCAAGCTAACAGCGGCTGGGGGAGGGAGCTCCGCGAGACCCAAGCAAGAAAGAAACCGTGCGCAACACGGAGTGCAATACACCGGAGTGCAATACATCCGTTAACGGAGCTATGCAACTTTGGCTTTCCCGAACAAGGCAATTTTAATCTTACCGACACACTGAATGAGCTTGTGTCGCCATGAGTCGAGTTCCCGCCGGAATCCTTTTCTTTCGGCCGTGCATTTGGAGCTCCGGCACTGGGTCGCCGCCATTCTGTCCGTCCACCTTCCCCCCGGCTCTAACCGTGACGTCACTGTACGTCATCCAAATGACGGTTCCGATTGATTGACAAGTGTCAGAACGGGCATGGGGCGGGCCTTAGAGATGTAAACAACATTTCCCCCAATCCGGAAATCTCATTTATTCAGAATATCTGATGGATAAACGTATCGTATAGTGCCAAAAGTATGCTGTTGAATGAATGCTCTTAATGCTGCTTTAGTCGAGCTAACAAAGCTCGGTAGCTACATGGTGAACTGAATGCACCTCGAATACTTCTTTCACCTGTGAAGGTTTAAGTTGATGTTTTTCAGCTGTCATCCAGGAAATCAAATTGTTCTTAACAATTCTTAATTGTTCTTAAATTACATAATTCAGAAGGTCCGTGCTTTATTTTCACACCCTGTATGAATTTGTCATCATTGCTTGCAGTTTTTTCCAACTGCTTACACACTACCCAGCTAACATAAGACCAGCGGGCCACTGGCGTCCCGCCGGCAGCAAAGTCGGCGGTCCACTGGTGGGCGCCGCCCGCGGTCCACCGTCAATTTACTCATCGTTATTCCAGCGGCCCAGCGTGTTTCAAAAACACGTTAACAAATACAACAAAATAAATATAAAATACATATAAAATACATACAAATATAATATAACAACATACATACAACAGTTACATTTTACAGGAGTTTTATAAGTAATGTTAATGGTTTAAATATGAACTAATATGAACAATACCTGTACAGCATAATTTATGTACAGCATTTACTAATGCATTAATAAAATCAGTCATGCTTGTTAACATTAGTAAATACATTGCGAGTTAACATGAATAAACAATTAACAACTTTTTACCATTTACCAACATTAGCAAAGATGAATAAATACTGTAATAAATGTATTGTTTATTATGTTAGTAAATACATTAACTAATACATACAACCTTATTGTAAAGTGGTAGCCATTCAACAATGAGTTTTCTATAATAAAGACAAACTTTGAGACTTCTCATTATAAAAATAAACTATTAAAAAAAATTGTATTATTTATATTTTAACATTATTATAATTATTTATTATAATATTATATTAAATTATAACATTCTTATGACATTTACGTTATTATAAATAACATAAAAATAAATTACATTGCGAATAAATATTAACATATTACAATAAATCTAAACGTGCATTATTTTTACAAAATCAAACTGTTAAACATCTGGAGGTTATTAATAACTACACTGGGGCAGCACAGTGGCTCAGACTGTCACCTCACAGCAAAAAGGTTGCTGGTATGAGTCCCGGCTGGGTCCGCTGGCATTTCTGTGTGGAGTTAACACTTGTGCTATAGGTGAATTTGAACATAGTGTAGAAGTGTCTGTGAATACAAGAGTGTATGGGTGTTTCACAGTGCTGGGTTGCAGCTGGAAGGCTGTGTAAAACATATGCCAAAGTAATATCCAGTTCCTTACGCTGTGGCGACTCCTGATATTAAGCTGAAGGAAAATGCAGGTTCTTTTGTCTGCCCCCTCATGATTAGCAGATCCTAATAAAAATGTCTTTGAGGCTCCCTTCCACTGTCTCTCTTGTAGCAGGCTTCTTTCTTATCCTGAAATAACAGAATCATCAGTCATTATTTTTGTCCATCATCAGTAACTAGATCATTATTGACATTAATGTTTGTATTTTTTATTGTCTTTTTATTGGACATCAAGACTGCATTGATTTGATCGATAACATTAATTTACAGTTTAAAAGTAACACTGAAATATTTTTACAGTTTAAAATAATGATTTTTAATTTCAATACATTGTAAATGGTCTATTTGATTATTAATAGACTGTCTGCTTAATATCTGTTGATTCTGCTCCTTCAACAGACATTAACTGACCCTAACCCTAACCCTTAATTTACCAAGTACATGTCAACTTACACCAACCCTAAACGCAACCCTAACAGTCTACTTATAATCTAATGAGAATTAGATGGCATGTAGATGCAATGCAGCTTAAATTCAACAAACAGACCATCAAAATAAAATGTGACCATGTATTTTATTAATGTGAGGTCAAAGCTGATTTGTTAGCATCATTACTTTAGTGTCAGATGATCCTTCAGAAATCATTCTAATAGGCTAATTTGTTTGATGCAGTTGATATTAATATTAACATTAATAACATTAATCACTGGGAACACTTTTAAGTGACACTATAATATTACTTACCTTGAATGAAGTCTGGCAAGGAAAAACAAAGTGGTAGAGTGAGTGGAGGACAATCCAAAATCTAGAAAGAAGTAATAATATATATATTACTAACACATTTTAAGAAATGGATACTTGTATTAAACAAGGGTGCATAAAACAGATCAGAAGAGAGTTACGATTTCTGATTCAAATACTTTTCAATTTAAACTTTCTATTCAACAATGAATCCTGAAATAACAAAACATGATAAAAATAAGAAATCTTGCTTGATCAGCAGCAAATTATGAATACAATATTACATTTTGGACTGGAGCACTGACGCTGTAAATTCAGCTTTGAGAAAAGCAATGTAAAAAATTGTTTAAAACCACTCACTTATGTTTGGATGTCAAAACTAAAATAACTGCAATCAAGACATGTATCAGATGCATGATAATGTAGGGATTTCTTATAAAAATGCACATGAATCTATTTAACAGTTAATTATAGTCTTACCTGTGTTTCCTCCAGCTCTGTGATTAGCTCCCTTCATCTTGGCTCTTTTCTTCTGTTGAAGGGGTAATTTTGTCACTCCTGAAACCACAGAGCACTTTTTAAAATTAATATTAGCTTACATTAACTGTGAAATATCAAAGTAACACATATGTACTAACTTTAACATTTTAATTCGCTCTCGTTGACAGTGCAGTGCTTATTATAGGCTTAATAAAGTAGACTACCTCCAATAAAACATTGTCAAACCTCTCATCTACACATAAAATGTAATTAAAGCCAACACTTTTATAAACAATAGCTAGCCTAATGCTAATGTTACCTCTGCTAAAACTCTAACGGACTTTTTCCAAAGACACAACAATCTCTATAAAAAACATGTTCAACAGAAATATGTCAATTACCAGTTAGAAAAGTGTCAGAAACAGTTATATGTAACATTTGCGTGATTTTAGCGACTAAACTTACCTGAAATTAGACTTTTAAACAGCTAAGGGACAGTCATTATGGCGACGGAGTATAGTTCTTCCGTTCCCTTCCTCGGGGAACGAAGGGTTACTTTAGTAACCTCGAACGTTCCCCTTCAGGGGGAACTCCAGCACTATAAGTGGATTGATGTACTAATCCACGTATGGGAGCCCATTGAAAGCGCCATAATGACCACACCTTACCAACACCTATCATGAGAGAGCAGTCAGGCAAGCGTGACGCACCCAGATCATGAGAGGCGCGGTCCTCCAACGTGCCCTTGGCCCTAACTTATCCCACTTCAAAGAAACTTTACGGAATAGGTATATTTTTTTGGGAGTCGCTAGCGTCTAGATAATTCTAGGAATATACGACAGTACGTTGGGAAGCGTGCCATCCCAGTAGGGAGGACGCTGCGGAGACCATCCGCACCCAATAGGGGAAACAAATGGAATTACATATGGACTAACCCTGAGAAGGGGGAGTGCGCATAAGAAGGTGGTTAGCGGATAGGGAAAGCACGGGTCCACCCAGGGGGGGGGAACTTAACCGTGGCGGAAAAGCATATGGGGATCACCAGCGGGGATCGGCCATAGCAGGCACCTATACCCAAAACGCGGGCTGACCAGCGGGCAGATCTACAACGTAATGGGCCAGCAAGTGACTCCTCCGCTGAGTCAGTGCTGGGGGCCTCGGAGGAATCTGCAGGGCTCACCGAATGGGGAACTTTACTGACAGACAGGAGGGTGCACATCTCTCCGTGTTAGGGAAAAAAGGCACCGCAAGCGTGTTACAACACCTACCGAGTTGTTTCCTCAATCACCAAAGGTCCCTAACACCCTTGAGGAAACCGGCTCCACTCGCAGATTATAAAACCTTGCAAATGTGTTGGGTGTCGCCCAGCCCGCAGCTCTACAAATGTCTGTTAAAGAAGCGCCGCGCGCACACGCCCAAGAGGATGCAACGCTCCGAGTGGAGTGCGCACGCACTCCCGGGGGGCGCGGCTGACCTCTGCTCAAATAAGCACATGAAATGGCCTCTACAATCCAGTGCACTTCCGTCCGCCATAACAGACAAAGAGCTGCTCAGAAGATCTAAAGTTCTGAGTACGGTCCACATAAATGCGCAGGGCGCGAACTGGACAAAATAAGGACAGGGCTGGGTCTGCCTCCTCCGGGGGCAGCGCTTGCAGGGTTACTACCTGATCTCTAAAGGGAGTGGTAGGAACTTTGGGCACATAACCCGGGCGGGGTCTCAGGATAACGTGAGAAAATCCGGCCCGAATTCCAGGCACGAGTCACTGACCGAAAATGCCTCCAGGTCCCCGACCCTCTTAATGGAGGCCAATCATAAAGATACTGTATCGAGTGGCTCGAAGGGATCAAATCGCAGGCTCGTGAGAACGAGGGCGAGATCCCAAGAGGGCGTGAGAGGGGGGCGAGTTGGATTAATTCGCCTAGCGCCTCTGAGGAACCGGATGATGAGGTTATGCTTTCCCACGGTGCCGCCAGTCACCGCGTCATGGTGAGCGGAGATGGCGGCAACGTACACCTTGAGAGTGGAGGGCGACAGCCTGCTGTCCACCTTCTCTTGAAGGAAGGAGAGCACAACACTGATCTGTCAAGATCGGGGGTCTTCTCTGCGAGAGACACACCATTCAGTAAATAGACTCCACTTCAGGGCGTAGGCGCGCCTCATGGAGGGGGCTCTAGCCTGAGTGATGGTATCAACTACCGCGGGCGGCAGGTTACCTAAGTCTTCCTCGCGTCTATGGACCACACGTGGAGGTTCCAGAGATCGGGGCGAGGGTGCCAGATGGTGCCTTGTCCCTGAGAAAGTAGGTCCTCTCTCAAAGGGATCTGCCATGGGAGGGCCGTTGCGAGGAGGGAGAGCTCTGATATCTAGGTCCGGTTGGGCCAGAGGGGCG